ACGGGCTGTATATCTCAAGATGAGTGCCCTCACATTCAGTCTCCTCCAGCATGAGGTCTAGGAAGCTAACAACCTGCTTGTTTTCCTTATTGTACTCAGGGCTGCACATTAATGAAGTATCTGATCAGAACATGTGTAATTAAAATTCTGATTACATTTACTTGGAAAAACAAACAAAAAAACCCCAGCAATCAGAAAGCATTATCTTTTATGATTTATTTTGCCATGCATTCATATAGGTATGTTTAAATCATAATTCCATGCTTTTTTTCATGTGCTGCTGTGAATTTTGTTTATATTTGTGTTATTGCATGTGCTGCTAGCTTGTACTTTGCCTGGACTAGGTGAAGTAACAGGTGTGCTTGATAGCAGGCCAAAGAAGGTGTCTATACTTAAAGTACATGTAAACCTCGTCACTGAAATCTCATTTTTAAATCTGTAGTTTTCATTAAAGGCCAACTAAGGGCACAAGACCCAAAAACCCTTACAATGGAGCCCCATCACACTGCATGCGTTACATGCTTGTTAGGTCTAGGGGGTACAAGAAGGGGAGGTATTACTTATTTTGAGCTCTGCTCTGGCACTTTCCTCTTCTCCTGGACGCTCTGGGCAGTCCCTCTGCATCATCAGGTATAAAGCAGGGCTATTAACCCTGCATTGTGCATTAAGAAGTCAAGTGTGTGACCACAATAGGGGGCACCTTAGAGAATAGGCTTCATCGAGTTGTCTGTAGGAAGTATGCCATAGTGAGGAGTAAGGAAGTGTTACTCCTTGTCCTTGTACCCCCTGGACTATTTTTGTGTTGTCTCTGGAGTTGGGCTTTAATAGAAAATATATTTGGTGATCCTGCCATTAGGGGTCTTTTTCAGGCACTTCCGGTAGTAGGGTGACAATGTTCTGTCCTTGTCCCCAGTTCTCCTGTGTTGTCACCCTGACATATGCTCTCCTAATGTAGATTACTAGTGGCTATGCTGATTTACATTACACAGGCATATTCCACTGTTGTCACCATCAGGAGGTAAGCAGCGCAGAGATGTAACAAAGGATGAAAAAAAGTGTTTAATAAGTATTTCCAAATGAAAAACATGGTGATGATACACGGTGCTTGGGCAAATTGAATGCCATCTAGTTAGTGTTTAGATGTACTTTAACCTTTTTTCATGCTCCACAGCCATTCCATGATGCGGTCCCTGAAATTCCTGTACAAATTTCAGCTTTCACTAAAAATCTGAAATTGCTCAGGGCTTTGCATGCTTCCTCATCCAACATGACAATGCTCAGGCCTGGTTACTGACAGCTCAGGCCTGGTTACTGACAGCTCAGGCCTGGTAATGCTGTCATGCTGCCCTGGCCCATGCTGTCATGCTGCCCTGGCCCATGCTGTCATGCTGCCCTGGCCCATGCTGTCATGCTTCCCTGGCCCATGCTGTCATGCTTCCCTGGCCCATGCTGTCATGCTTCCCTGGCCCATGCTGTCAGCCTACCTATACTGTCACTTGGCAGGTTCCATCCAACTGACACTTTGGGTGACAGGCTGTATATCTCAAGATGAGTGACCTCACATTCAGTGTCCTCCAGCATGAGGTCTAGGAAGCTAACAACCTGCTTGTTTTCCTTATTGTACTCAGGGCTGCACATTAATGAAGTATCTGATCAGAACATGTGTAATTAAAATTCTGATTACATTTACTTGGAAAAACAAACAAAAAAACCCCAGCAATCAGAAAGCATTATCTTTTATGATTTATTTTGCCATGCATTCATATAGGTATGTTTAAATCATAATTCCATGCTTTTTTTCATGTGCTGCTGTGAATTTTGTTTATATTTGTGTTATTGCATGTGCTGCTAGCTTGTACTTTGCCTGGACTAGGTGAAGTAACAGGTGTGCTTGATAGCAGGCCAAAGAAGGTGTCTATACTTAAAGTACATGTAAACCTCGTCACTGAAATCTCATTTTTAAATCTGTAGTTTTCATTAAAGGCCAACTAAGGGCACAAGACCAAAAAACCCTTACAATGGAGCCCCATCACACTGCATGCGTTACATGCTTGTTAGGTCTAGGGGGTACAAGAAGGGGAGGTATTACTTATTTTGAGCTCTGCTCTGGCACTTTCCTCTTCTCCTGGACGCTCTGGGCAGTCCCTCTGCATCATCAGGTATAAAGCAGGGCTATTAACCCTGCATTGTGCATTAAGAAGTCAAGTGTGTGACCACAATAGGGGGCACCTTAGAGAATAGGCTTCATCGAGTTGTCTGTAGGAAGTATGCCATAGTGAGGAGTAAGGAAGTGTTACTCCTTGTCCTTGTACCCCCTGGACTATTTTTGTGTTGTCTCTGGAGTTGGGCTTTAATAGAAAATATATTTGGTGATCCTGCCATTAGGGGTCTTTTTCAGGCACTTCCGGTAGTAGGGTGACAATGTTCTGTCCTTGTCCCCAGTTCTCCTGTGTTGTCACCCTGACATATGCTCTCCTAATGTAGATTACTAGTGGCTATGCTGATTTACATTACACAGGCATATTCCACTGTTGTCACCATCAGGAGGTAAGCAGCGCAGAGATGTAACAAAGGATGAAAAAAAGTGTTTAATAAGTATTTCCAAATGAAAAACATGGTGATGATACACGGTGCTTGGGCAAATTGAATGCCATCTAGTTAGTGTTTAGATGTACTTTAACCTTTTTTCATGCTCCACAGCCATTCCATGATGCGGTCCCTGAAATTCCTGTACAAATTTCAGCTTTCACTAAAAATCTGAAATTGCTCAGGGCTTTGCATGCTTCCTCATCCAACATGACAATGCTCAGGCCTGGTTACTGACAGCTCAGGCCTGGTTACTGACAGCTCAGGCCTGGTTACTGACAGCTCAGGCCTGGTTACTGACAGCTCACTATGGGAAGCAGGGGTGGTAAGCCATGTAGTCCTTCATACTTCGAAGTGCCTTATATTTGGCAAGCTGCAGTGGCAGGCAAGCACAGGAGAAGTAAGTATTTACTCTTGATGCATTCTGTTTAACATACCTGTCACTAGGGATGAGCCCAGGTTTGGTTTGAACTGGAATTCGTTTGAACCCAGAAGGTACTGGCCCAATCAGCTGTGGTCGGGGCATTCCCTGCAGCTGAATGTAAACAAAGGAGCAGGTTGCTGCTAATATCATTGGGTCATTGCCGGCCATGTGGCCAGATAGGGTTAATAATGTCACAACCACCCCAGCCCTTCGTTT